CCACAATGTTTTTATTGACCAATCTATGAAGGTGCAGCCGTGCAAAATACCCAGTCAATCGTCAGACATCGACGACGGTGAGTGACACTCGACCAATATTCCTGACCGGACCACGATTAGTGCAGCCATAATCGATCACTATTCACTTTTAAAACATCACCAAATCGTGTGTGACGGCGACTCAAAAGCTATTTTCTCTTGCTTTGATTCTTTGCTCGCAGCGTGTTCAAAAACTGACAACGCCATTGTCAATTCGTATTGCTTTAAGTTTTTTGGGTCTGTCGTCGTTCCTTAAAGGTGCACATAGCTGAAGTCGCTCAAACAATAGTAGAATGAATATGAATTAAAAATCTCAACCTCAAAAACACACCTCGCTTCTAGATAAAATTTTCGTATCAGATGTACCTGATACTGATACGTCATCAGATACTGGACAAGAGTAGATTTGTGGCGATCAGTTCATTTCTAGCACTTTCTTAATTCTTCATATCAGCACGATCCACATCGCCACACTATTTGATGAGCAGCATCAGCTTTGGTGTCAGAAGTGCCTTGGTGGTAATGTCTGCGATTTGCATGCCGGATGATACATACTGAAATTTGCGCTGACTAACCTTGGCCTCATCCTGGGCAAAGTTAGTGTATTTGGCATGCGACTGGTGTCTGACGCAACGTGTCATCACCATAGCAGCTAGCGTGTGACGTTCACCGCTATTGCAGATGCCATTTCAGAACTGAGCATTGAAGAAGATGACGGAGCCGCAATGTATCTTAAAAAGAGAATTAACCTATTCTCTGGTTTGGTCGATGACAGAGCTACAGCTCACTGATTCTTAGACTTGTGAATAATGGGCAAACCGCCCAGTAAGACCAAGCCACTAGTCGTATAGCGACGTGCCGCGATGTCACTACCATAGTTAGCGTCGATGTACATGGTGAGCATGAAGATCTAGCAATTTCCGCGCATTTAGAAAATTAAAAGGTGTTTTAATCATAGAAGTACCGTAAAACACGAATTGCAGCCTTCACGTGGGTTTAAAAGGGAAAATAAGGAAGCGTCTCAAGATTCAGATTGAGTCCAAAAATATGAACGTCGTCAACCGGTGATATAAAGCATAAATCCGATTTACTCACGTTAGATTTTCATATCAGCAAATTCACTGCTGATTAAATTGCCCAGGATTTCCCCGAATATGTTCGGAGACCTGGAGGCAAATGCGGACACGTGATTAACTTCTCTGGTAGTCGTTGAATGAATTGCGACTTGCGCATATGGATACTTCTTTGCTCGCGGTCATACTCCACCTCGATTTCCAGTGCCATTAGGGCTCAAGGTTGATGTCCTTCACTGGAAAGTCGAAAAACGGAAAGGAACGAAAGGGAGATACATGCCTGAGAGCTAACGGGCTTCAACTCTCACAGTGTCTTCTGCCACGTAGCTGTAGCTCGATATAAGCCCTATAAACTTCGGTAAAACGCTTACTCTACCTTTGGACGTCTTCTATGTGTCCGATGTAGGCACTTTTCACCAAATCGATGTTGATAAACGCAGTTTTACTTCGAGATGACGAATCACGAACTTCTTCTAGCAGTAGAAAGAGAAGAGCGTACACATGAAACGTGGGCTTAAGGACAACGATAATCAATCCCATACGTTTAGATCCACGAGACGCGTCTTGTCTCGAACAATTTTCTGTAGAATTCAGCTTGACATCAAACATCATCATGCGACCATAAATTGTGAGTACCATGTGGACGTTGAGTCAAATTCTACGTTTGGTTGGGGGAAAAAGACATTGCTTCTTTCCATTGAGAAACCTTTTTCAACGTCTACATAGCAGTGCGAGCATTTAATTCAGAGTAGGGTTGAAGTCCATAACCGACTCTTATGGTGGCATGTTGTGCCAAATTCGATCGCGGACTGATCAAAAACGGAACGAAACCAAGGCTACCTCTGCAACAGAGCAACCGCAGCTTTTTCGCGTGGACGATGATTGGTTGAGGTGGTGACTTTCGTGCCATACTAAGAACCAGTACGAGTGTAGCGGATCGCAATCCACTCACTCCAAGAGAGACTACAACCTTAATCTAAGACTAATTAAAGGAATTAACTCTTCCGTTTAGAACGTCCACTGTACTTCTCGGATTTATTGCGACAGAGCCGCCTGTATATAAATAATAGGTTTTCAATCAATATGAGCAAACCTAAATAAATGTATAACTGCTGGCTGTTCCAGCCACGTATGGACTTCTTGTTAAGTGTAGACACATCATTATGTGATCACACCATCTTGTGCAGCCCAGACCCCTCCAACCAGGGTACGTGAAAACCCGTTACACTCCCCCCCATCAAAATTGTGAACACCTTCGGTTCATATTCACTTGTCGCCTCGAACGAGGCTCGGGTGTCTCAGACACCACAGCCATACCAGGACATTCTCCTTAAATTCTCTGCTCAATAAGCCCTGTGTCGAGGACCCAGCCTTGCTTGTTTCGAGAGAAATCCTGCGGGTAGAGCCTTTATATGTTTCCTGAACGCTGGGTAACTTCGGACAGCACGTCCGCGGCTTTAAAGAAAGCGAACTCAAGCTCTCGGTAACCGAGTACCGCGCACCGCATCCGACACGTACGATGGATTTTCTCGTCTAGGAGGAAGTCGACTACGAGTCATATATTCCTATCCCAGGATAGGAATAAGAAGAGGGCGAGATGCCCCAGCGGCGCGACATGAGCCCTGCATGAACCTTGCGATCATATATCCTCGACTTTAAGGGGAAGTGGTGGCATTACCAATGGTCTCGACAAGGCACAGAAGTAGTATCTGAATGCTGACCACAGAGCGGCTCTCATGCTTGCACAACAATCCTTGACCCTAGTGTGGAATACGGCTTCTGCTCAGCAGATCCTGCTACAAAAGCAAATGACGCGATCACTCGATCATTAGGCGTCTACGTGGTCGGACCCTCGGCCACTACACAAGCTGAGCGTAACGATCAAAACGTTCTGCGTCCTTGCTTCTTGAATCCGCAAGAAATCCCGGTACTTGACTTTACGCTCAAAAAGGAGGCGATCCTGTACCCGCGATGCGAACGGATCCTGTGGTGCTTCCCCTGGCAAAACCGCTGCAGATGGCGAAATGCTTATTGAGCGATGAGTGCAGCGACATCCAAAGCTTTCCTCTCTGTCCAACTTACAGTGGAGTCACGATTTAAATAAGCGTATACGCAACGCCCCGTTTGGCCACAACTTTTTAAAAGCTCGATAAACCTTGGACGGAACTTTGTCTTAAAGACAGCAGAAATTGTATGTTTTTTTAGAATTTGATAAAACCAGGTCTTCGACCATGAACTTTTTCTGCATATTCATTCTGCATGTCTTGGCTTTAAGCCATCACTTCGCGAACGTATCGTAGTATATTCAGTTTGGTAGACAGGAAGTCAGCGACCTCTTTAAGAACAGTAAGGTGGCTGACATCAGCAAGCCATTCGGCTATCCCCCCATTCAGCTCAGATCCATGGGATGGCAAGGTCAGAAGAACGCGAAGATTTACAAGTCCGATCACGTAAAACGGCGTGTAGCCGGTAGATAAATGCACTGTATTGTTCAAAGCAAACTCTACACGGCAGCATGGTGCCCCGGTTCTTCGGCGTCTCAGCGCAGACGCCGCGATGGACGCTTTCAACGCCGCAATTTGCGCGCTCAATTTTACCATCGGTCTGCAGATGATCCGCTGTTGGCACAGTCAACTTGGTGCCAGTCGGAGGACACCGGTAAACTAGCCAGCGGCACTGCCGCATTCGGAGAGAATTTCACCCTCTAACACGTCCCTCACGTGCGCACATACGTGCTCATCCACTTGTACAGCCTGTACCACCAATACAAGTAGCTCACCGAGCTGAACGATTTCTCAGGACCGCGATGACCACTATGTTGGGTGTCGTGGCCCTTTTAGAGGATACGTTTCTTAAATCCTCATCGTGGGGGAACCACAATTCGTGGCGTATCAGCTGAATCGGTGCTACAATACAATAATCCGTTACTTAACAAATATTGGTGTAACCGAGCGCGCAATTGCGCCGACAATCACTTGTCCGAGTTTCCAAACGCCTTGCTCCCGAAAGTTTCTAACAGCGCTACACACATACTGTCACCCGCGTACATCGCGGAGCAAATCCGTAGCTGACGATGCCACCATCGTAACATGAGCAAGCTCATAGTGCGGTCTGCGTGACAACGCATCAGCCAAAGCATTCTGCTTTCCTGCTTTTACTTCACATCAAGGTTATATTCTGCAAAGAATGAGAGCCACCTGGTCATCTACTGCGAGTGGTGAGGTGACTGAATCGCAGTGCGTAAGGACGCATGATATTTGTAAAATTTAAACAGATTTGAGCGAAGCAGGTGCATCTAGAACTTAGCAAGTTTATACGTCATCGCAAGTAATTCCTTTTCGTGGACTGGGTAATTCCTCACCGCAGCCTCAACCTGGCAAGATATGAACACGATCAACTGATCTTGCCCATCGGCGTCTGCTTGCAGCAGTGCATAGCCGACGGCAAAGTCCGAAGCGTCACAGACGACACTTGAAGGACGATCGGGGTCTGGCAACGCCAGAATTGGTGCATAAAGAAGGATGTCTTTGTCCCTGTTAAAAGCCTCCCGATGCTTGATGTTGGGACACATTATTTGCGCTATACTTGTGCAAGTAGTTGGAGAGGCTAAGCCACTTGCGCATGTCCTTTTGGTTCTTTGGAATTGGCGAGTCTACACTTGCTTTGACCTTAGTAGGATCTGCTTGATGGCCACGCTTCCCAATGGAGCACCCTAGAATACACCGAAAATGCACTTATCGACATTAGCATACTGCTGATTCGTGCGCATGCACTGGAGCACTGCTCTCAAATGGACGATGTTGTTTTCCACATCTGTCCTCCCATGCCCCGCACGAATGAGGACGAAGATGTCGTCGAAGTATGTCTGTGCATTCGTCCGATGGGGCCTAAACAACTACTTCACAAGACGATTAAATATTGCTGATGCATTTGACAGCCTTTGGGGCATCACCAGTCCCTCTCAGTTCGTCCCGCTCGGAGTACTCACCGCTGTCAGCGGAATATTACTCACTCATGAGCAATCAGTGATCACCATCGACCAAGACGAGTGCGCTGTGCATTGTATAGCCAGTCATATTGTTGTGGAGAGCTTTATTTATGGGAATCGGCGTCTATGCCGGAATAGTGGTAGCTTGTTATATGCGTGAGCGAGACGCCACCTGATGTTCGGCTTCCGAACACAAACATAGGTGTCAATTGAGAAGACTTGCTCTCACGCACCATTCATGCCTTGTACTCCACACGAAAAGAGGCGTCACTGACGTCACACTGCTCCTTGGGTAGGGGCCATTGGCGTATTACGCAGTATTTAGTTAACCAGGTCAATTTTATGACGCACACCCCGGTCCGGAGGTGGAACCGACGGCGGGTCTTTGGAGATGATGTACTGAAATTCCTATACCAAAGGATAATACGGATCCGAGAGATTCTTCAGGATCGACGATTCACTTCGTGCGTTCAGTATCCTCTTGGCCAAGACAGCATCATCCAGAAGCGACGACGAGTTAGTTCGGTCTTATAATGACCACCTCGACTAAATTGCCAACATTCAAGGCACCGCCGAACTCTTAGAAGGACATCTCAACCAGCCGAAGAAGAGCGTCCACCACGGAAATAGCCTCATAGGTGACGTCGCTGTCTTTCTCTCCCGTCATTATATTGACAAGGGTATATAGCTGTGCGCAATCGTCCACGGTAGAAACACCCTGTGTAACGGGGTTACACGATCCCTAATAAAAGGGGTGTGTGCATGTCACACGAGATGTGCATAATGTGACCACCCACCCAAACAAGAATACGGGACGGGGCTAGGTAGCTAGTA